AGTGCTAGGACTACAGGCGTGAGCCACCGTGCCCGGCCCCGAAAGACTTTCTTTAACAACCCTCGTAGTGCAGGTCTGTGGGTGGCGTACCCTTTCAGGTTTTACAAGTCTTAAAAAGCCTTTTCCTTCAGTACTTTAATAAATGTGGTCCCCTGTAACTATCTTCCTCTTGCATTGTTTCCAGTGAGAAATTTAACGTTATCCTTGTCCTTTTTCTTCTGTGCATATGTGTCTTCCCCCCGGCCCCTGCCTCTGGTTACTGTTAAGATTTCCCCTTAAAAACTCTTTATCACTGTTTTCGATAATGTGACGTATAATGTGCCTTGGTTTAGTTTTCTTCACGTTTTCTGTCTTGGTGTTTGTAGAGCTTCTTGGATCTATAGGTTTATAGTTTTCATTAAACTTGCAAAATTTCCAGCCATTGTTTCCTCAAAAAATTTCTGATCCTTTTATTTCCTCCAGGGACTCTACTTACAAGTACATTAGGCTACTTAAAGTTATCCCAGAGCTTACTGACATCCATTCTTTTTAAAACGTTCTCTTTTCTCTCCGTGTTTTATTTTGGATAGTTTCTACTGCGGTTAAAGTTCACTGATCTTTTCTTCTGCTCCTACTGACATTAACCCCATCCGGCGTATTTTGTATCTCACACATTGAAGTTTTCATTTCTAGCAGTTTGATTTTGATCATTTTCAACATCTTTCTTGTCTCTAGCTTACTTTTGGAACGTGTGCAAGACAGTTATAAGAACTTTTTCAATGTCCTCATCTGATAATTCTAACATCTGCGAAAGTTATGAGTCAGGTTCAGGTGATTGATTTATCCACTCGTTATGGTAACGTTTTCCCACTTCTTTACTTTCCTGGTAATTTTTGATTGGATGCCAGAAGTAGTGATATTTTTGCCTTACTTGTTGGTAGATATTCTTGTGTTTATGTAAATGTTCTTGAGCTTTATTGTGGGATCAGTGAAGTTACTTGATCTTTTGGCATCTTGCATTTAAGATTCGTTAGGTAGGACTGAAGCGCTCAGTCTAGGAGTAATTATTCCCTGTTACCGAGGACATGACCTTCTGCCCAGCGAATCTTGACACTAACCTGGGCTGTGGGAACAGGCGCTGTGTGCGCCCGCGCCCCGAGTGGTTTCCTCACACTCTGCAGTGACCGGTCCTCAGCCGGCAGGTGGAGGGGGATCCTCTGCAGATATCCGGATTCCCTCCCCACACGGCTCTCTCTTTCCTGGTATTCGATCCCGTGAGCTCCTCTGCCAGTAGACGACGGACTGCGGCAGAAAAAAATACCCGCGTTTCTGGCTTCGGTAATCTTGTCTTAGCCGATGGCTACGAACACAGAAGCAGAAAGATTGTCGTCTTAGTCTGTTCGTGTTGCTATAACAGAATGCCTGAGACTGGGTCATTTATAAAGAGCAGAGATTTATTTCTTGGGGTTCTGAAGGCTGAGGAGTCTAGGGTCAGGGTCCGCATCTGGTGAGGGGCTTCGTGCCGTGTCACCCACGGCCAGAGGCGGAAGGGCAAGATGGCACACGTGCGAGAGGGAACGCCAGACTAGCTTGCATGACACGCCCACGCTCACGCTCGCGGTGACAGGATGCGTTGGTGAGGGCAGAGCCCTCGTGACCTAATCACCTCCTACTGGCCCCACCTCCCTGCACTGTTGCATTTGGGGTTAAGTTCCCAGCACTTGGGCTTTGGGGGATACGTTCGAACCATGGCAGTTACTAAGGGAAACCTATCTCGGCCTGCCGACGTCCCCGTCCGACGCTAAGAGCAATCATGCCTCTGAAGAGATTGTAGACCTGGTGGAGCTGGTGCTCCTGGACGTCCATGTTCCACGAGCCCCTTGCCACTGCCACAAGTCGTGTGCTGTTAGGCAGTGACTGGCGTTTGGTGGGAGCAAACCTTGGCAGGCACAGGTTGAGATGTCACAGTGGAACGCAGCACAAGACCGTGCCCATCCCAGGCAACTCGGTGGCTCGGGGTCCCCGCTGTGGCTCCGGACGTCCAGAGAGACGTCTCCTGCGGTTTTGCACGTTCCCCAGCCCCAGGACCCTGGCTGGCGGCGTGCGGTGGGCGTGGGAGGAGGCCAGTGCAGACCGTGGGGAGAACAGTGCCGGGCGATGGACGGCCTGTTTTCTACCCACAGGTGCCTTCTTCAT